GTCACATAACAACGTACGCATAAATTTTTGTATGAGAGACTAACTTGAATTGTAAACTTTCACTTAAACTGCAATTAAAAAAAAAAAAAGAACAACTAGTAAAAGGTGGTTCACTACTAAAATGGATAAAAGAGATTGAATGCTAAGGGGTACGGAAGTAGCAACCACAGAAAGCAGCCACTGCCCCTAGAACTGAGGGAGAGTGAGCAAGGAAGGAACTTAGAGACTTAAAGACAGAAAGTATGGCTGCCCCAGCAACACCTAGTTTTTCAGTGTCAGAGAAACTTGCTGGAGGATTTGGGTTGCAGGTGAACTGCAGGAACTGCTGGAGAACATGGGCCATAGCTGAACCATGAGGGCTGCTGAGGTGAACATACCAGGCCCCTGTATGCCAATCTGATGGCTGCCATGTGGACCAGAAAACAGAAAGGCCTTTCCTCCTGGCTCTAGCTTTACAGTGGTCCTCCAACGCCCTCTACTGGCAAGCCAGCTGGCAAAGGAGAAATGTCTACAAGGTGCAGTAGTCCTTAATCATAATTCAGGTCCAAGAATGGCAGCTCTGGAATCTAAAGGCAATAAATTAACTAGTACACTAGCCATTTATAGAAAATGTAGGAAAGCAATCAGCTAAATTCAGAATGTTGAAAAATCCACAAGCCAAATGACCAGGTTTCTTCAATAACTAAATGCTAAGAAAAATAATAGAATGGGAGAAATTAAAAGACTTAGAAGATTAAATGCAATGGGACATTCTTGTCTGGATTCTATTTCAAACAATAAACCAACTATAAAGAGACATGAGAAATCAGAGAACTTTTAACATTGACAGGGTATTTGATATTAAGGAAATGTTAATTTTTTTTATTGTGATAATTGTATTATGGTTAAAAAAAGTCCTTATCCTTTGGTGAAATATTTATGGATGAAATAGGTCTGGGATTAGCTTTAAAATAATGCAGGAAATGGGGAATGTTCACAGGTGAAATGAAAGTGGCCATAAATTGATAATTACTGAAGCTAGATTATAGGCTCAAGGGTATTTGTTACACTGTTCTCTTGCATATGTTTGAAAATTTCCATCATAAAACATTCTTTAAAAAAATTAAATGCCATCCCCATCAATTAAAAAATAAAGGGTGGGGGGGGGTGGCGGATAGCACAACTTACCTCAATATTAGGAACTTTATATTCTGCTACTTTGAGAGGGAAATTGTAAGGAAGCCAGGCTCTGGTGAATCCATGCTGACCTTGGGATGTGAACAGTGCAAAGGGCATTTTCAAATCAAATTAGGATTATTTGTTGCCCAATTTCCTTAAATCTAGTAAAAAGTGTAGAAGCACTACCTCATGGTTAAGAGCATGCTGGAGCCAGAACACCCAGGTTGGAATCCTGGCTCTTCCATTACTTGCTGTGTGACTTCAGAAAAGCTACTTAACCTTTCAGAGCCTATTTTCCCATCTTTAAGAGGCTGTCAGGATTAAATGAGTCAAGATTTGTTACTTGCTTAGAACAATGCCTGACCTAAAGTAAAATGAGTTATGTTTTAAAATTCAGTGATTCATTTGCTATTTAACACTCTCGCTAGGCTGGACATAAGGTTTAAAAAACAAAGGAGAAATAGGGAATGTTGGAGGATAACAAAGGAACATGATGGAAGTTTACAACCTGCCGTCTGCCATTAATCCCCATTATCTTGGTATCATTGAGGTTGGGAGTTTTTGACTTCCAAGTTTAATTCTGATTCTAATTAAAGGCGTAAATTTGAACTGTAAAATCAGAGAAATACAGGAAGAAAGCTACGATAGTCCCAACAAGTAAAACCAAAGGCAAGCCCAAGAGATTCTTCTCTGCCCACACGCCATTAAATGTGATACTTAAGCACAACCCACATGACCTTTAAAAGGCAGGAGCTGGTGAGTAAACTGAACCACAGACCAACAGTGGTGGGCAGTACAAGTGTCTGAGGTTCCAGTTCCTAAAATGATGAGCCCTGCCCATGTTGAAGCTTACTTCCGGTAAAGTTAATTAATTGCAGTTCTTTGCAGTCATCAGGGAGAACTGCAGTGCTCTAAAGAAACCCTTAAAGCCCAGGGGTGCTGTAATTGAGCAACATAATGGAAGGGCAAATTAAAAGTCGCCAGTAGTAGTACAAGGCAGATGAACAATTACAGCCAGTGAATTCTAGAATGGTCAGATTTACTATTAAGATACTATTCAAACAAAATAAAGTGATTGTGTTATAGGAAGAAAAAAGTTAAATTGATGGAGGTCTAGGAAATGGCAGATGAATATTAAAAATGCTTTTATACTGATAATTACTGAGCTTAATAAAAGTTTTTTAAAAAGTACTTTTTATTAAGTAAAAAAAGAACTTAGTATTTCAGCCTACAGATCTTCCCCTCTCCCCTTTCATTTTTCTTTAACAATATCCAAAAATGCATTTGGAGGTAATAACCCCTTCTGAGCTAAAAACACACTTTAAAGGACATCCTACATACTTGCTCTGGGATATTTTTTCTCTTACTTTGACATAACCTGGGGAACTTGTTTAAAAATCCCCATGCCCGGGACACATTCTGTAACAATTAAATCACAGCGTCCGGGGGTGGGCATCAGGCATCAGTGGTTTTTAAAAATCTCCAGGTGACTCCAATGTGCAGCAGTCTGAGAACCACTGGCATAACTTGTAATTGCCTCTCTTCTTAAGAAGCAAATTGCTCATACAGGACAGACGAGCTGCAGCCTTATTTAGGGATGATACACTACAGTTAAAATGGAAGGACACAAAGTCTCTGCCCTTAGGTAATGTTTTGAGTTTCCATATGCTAATGTTCAAAACAACCATGAGTTTTTGGTTTTTTTTTTATAACTTGTATGAAAAACCAGTGTTTTCCTGGTTGTGGGGGGAGGTAAAATTACCCAACAAGAGTTAAGTGGTATTGAGAAGTATTGCCAGAAACTTTGCTGTAACAAGGTAAGAAAAGGTAAAAATATACTAGGATTTAATATTTGATTTTGGGCTCAAGTATCAGTCAGGTCTAATGGGGGGAAAAAAAAAAAAACTTGTCACAGATCGTGTTTCCTAAAATGTCATTGCAAAACTAAACATAAATATTTGCAAGAAATGTTTTAAGTCATTCCCTCTGTTGAATCTGCTGCCATTTTTATTGGGAAAGTGACTGCCTACTTGATTGTTAGCACAACTTCTCACCTGACACTGAAGTTGTCCGCTCAGTCCTAGTTTAACTATCAAGATACACTGTGAATGCCGTTTCCCTCATAATTACACACTATTTTCCATCATATTTGGAGACAAAGGATCTTATTCTTACAAAAGTTTCTTGCTGCATGCTCTGATGGGACCCGTGAAATGTTCAACTGAGGGACTGAAAAGACAGTTTTAGATTTGGCAACTTAATCAAGTTTTACCCAGTTTGTGTTACTATATCCAAACATTCAGAATTCTAGTTCTCAACTGGGCTGCAATTTTAAAAGGTTGGAACTATCTTAATCATTTTTATGTGTATTCTAAATCCCTGATATGGACATGACTCCTCTCATTTATTTTTAGGTAACAAAAACATGCTTATTTAAAGCAATTATTTCTTATACTTTGATTAATATATTCTTCACAATATTCATTACCTTTGTATCAAAACCCAAGAGAAGCAATTCGTAACTTGTCTGTATTATGTAGGCCCTATTAATGCCTAGTTACAGTAGCCAGGTAATGAATCAAAATCATTAAACCTTGCAATTTCAGAACATGTATTTCTTAGAATTCCTTTTTCCATAATTCTGATTTGACTCTCCTTCCAACCTGATTATGCCATTACTTTGTGTACACTCCTAAATAGATTGTGACCTCTTTCTTTCTTTTGCCAATCTACTACATTCATAGTCTGACCTCTCCCCCCAATTCCTATTCCACGCTCCCAACCTCCTGATTTCTCTACATGTCTCAACTCCAAACTTCTTTCACATTCTAGTAGCAGACAACTTCAACTATGAAGCAATCTTTTCAACAAATGTTAATGGACAACTGGATATCCACATGCAAAGGAATGAAGTTGGACCCCTACCTCACACCATATACAAAATTTGACTCAAAATGGATCAAAGGCCTAAAAAAAGAGCTAAAACTAGAAAATTCTTAGAAAAACACAAGCATAAATCTTTGTAACCCTGGATTAGATTTCTTAGACAAGACACCCAAAGTACAATCAACAAAAGGAAAAAATAGATGAAGTTGACTTCATCAAAATTAAAAACTTCTTCAAAGGGCACTATCAAGAAAATGAAAAGATGGGAGAAAATATGTTCAAATTATGTATCTGATAAAAAAAATTAGGATCCAGAATATATAAAGAACTTTAAAGTAAAAAAAAACCCAAATAAAAAATTGGCAAAGGATTTGAATACATTTCTCCTGAGATATACAGATAGCCAATAAGTACATGAAAAGATGTATCATTAAAGAAACACAAATCAAAATCAGTGAGATACTACATCACACCCACTGGGCTGGCAGTTCCTAAACAGCTACCTTATGACCCAGCAATTCCACTTCTAGGTTATTCTCAAGAGAATGGAAATGTTCATACAAAAAAGATTAGCAGTTTTCTAAGGCTTGTGGACTTCGATGGAAGCAAGGAGTAACTTAATATGTTTCTTTTTGGGGTGATGAAAATGCTCTGGAATTAGTGGTGATGGTTGCATAACTGTGGATATAATAAAAGCTACTTAACTGTACACTTTAAAATGGTGACTTTTAGGGCATGAGAATTTTATCTTAAAAAAATTTGTTAAAACAAACCTATGAAGGAAATCAAAGCAGGAAGAGTGATACAGGGACTGTGATGGTTAATGTTATATGCCAACTTGGCTAGGCCATGATTCTCAGTATTATGTAATTATCCTCCATTTTGCAATCATGTGAGGGTAGTTTTCTTGGGGGTGTAGCCTGCATACCATATACATGTATGTTCTGGCAAAGCTCAGTCTCTTGATCCTGCATCCGACTCATCATCCTTTGACCTCCAGTTCTTGGTACGTGAGCCAACACGATTTTAGGATTCACCAGCTCCTACAGCCCCATGAGCCAGCAGCCTGCTGTCTGATCTGCCTATTTTGGGTTTGCCAGCCCCTACGAGTGAGAAGCCTCAAGCTGGCCTGATGCCTGACCCATGGATTTGGGACTTGCCAGTCTCCACAACTGCAGGAGCCATTTCCTTAAAATAAATCTCTCTATATGTTTATATATATATACACTTCATTGGTTTTGCTCCTCTAGAGAACCTAGCCTAGGACAGAGACTGTGTGTTTATGTGTGGATGTTCTATTTTAAATAGGGCTGTCAAGGAAGACCTTACTCATAAGGAGACACTTCGCAAAAGACCTGGAGGAAATAAACTAGACAATCAAGTACAAATAGTGATCAAGTAGTAAAATGTTAACATTAAATATTTAAGTTCAATTATCAAAATGACTTAAAAGATACTTTCTCATGTTTAGAAGTTTAAGGACTACAATAATTCAGACTAAATCCTGAAATTTAAAATGGTGGCTAAAATTTGAGAAATTTAGAAGTTTTTCAAAGGACTAAGCCCCAAATCTTTAGTCTTCAGAGTAAAAAATATATTTCCTTGCCATGGTTTAAAATACAAAATACAGGGATGATGACAAAAACTAATTTCAATGCCTGCCTTATCTTTAGAAAAGAACTGAATATCATCACAGCTTTGTAGCCACTTTTATTCCCCATCTCAGTCTTCCTAGCACTCAAGAGTGCTCTGTAAACATTTCTTGAACAGAAAATACACTCCTAAGAGTATTATCTACTCTCCCACAGCAAAGGAAGCATGACATCAATTCACCATTTTCAAAGAAAGAATATAGGTTAGGATTTTAGAATAAAAACAATTACACTCCAAAATCCATATATTTACTTTTTATTGAATTTGTTACTGTTACAGAGTTCTTGCATTGCCAAAACCATGCCTGAGAATCCAAAGAAGAGAAATGGTAAAATGAACAGCCTCATCTACCCATCATACAGTATATAAAACTTGATTCATGTGCATTTTGATAATTTCACAATCTTTTAAAAAGCTGTAACAAGAGTTGGAATTTTAAATCTGCTGCAGGTCTTCAGATTTCTAGTAAAGTATGCTGTTAAATAACACGTCTACATATTCATCTGAGTTCATTCCTCAATAACATAACCCCAGTTTAAGGTTTTGCCAGAAAAGATGCATACTTTTCAGGGAGAATTTGTGGCTTAATGTCCAAGAGATTATTTGTTAAGGTTTTTGGTTCCCAAATGAAGTCTTCAGTTGAACCAAGAATCCCTTGTTTCTCTTTGAATCATCTAACTTCCCCTTGGCTCAGCTACTCCCTAAAATACATCAGAAAGCAGGTATCCTGTCTGCCACCTCAAACAATGCCAACATTATTGCCCAGAAGTGGCTGGCAGGTCCTGTCAGGAGACACTGTAAGCCTCCTAAGGGTCCAACTCCTGCACTGACACCAGGACTTTGCACTGGTTCAAACTGGTTCAGTCACAGCCAAGGAAGTGAAAAAGGAACGGACACAAAGTTTTACAATTTGGCAGATTTGGTACAGTATCCGAAATGGGAGAAATCAGAGGTCGAAACCCTGACTTGGAAGAGGGGAGTAACACACAAACTGGCATGGTCACCGGCCATCTTTTAGCAGGCTAGCGCCGCTTCAGACTGTGCTTAAAATCTGAGGGCCAGAGATTTGGTTGCTATGCAATGCATATGGCTGCCCTTGTTTGCTAAGAGGGAGGTTACGTTTCTAGCAGGGCTTCGACCTGTAATTTTTCCTGTTCCAGCTATCTTTCTGGTTCACTGTAACTTAAAAAATTCAGGTCTATTCCAGGGATGTTCCCTCAGCCATGACTGAACTGGACAGAACCAGTCTGAAGCCCTGACTGACATTTTCATCAAGACTAAACTCCTATAGGAAAATATGTTCCCCTATCAGGATAGTTGCACCCATTTCTTCACTCCTGCATTTGGCAAAGGGATTTATCATAGAGAAACCCAGACTCTGCATCCAGTGGTCACACACCACTTTGAAATATTTCTACTGAACCAAAACGACAAAACTAGAAAATTACCAAAATATCTTGTTAGATGGAAGAAACTTTTCAGTAACTGTGCGTAGCTTCTTCAGGTCCCTTTTAAGGACTGAAAATTCCTGGATAGTTTAAGCTGTAATTATTAAAAACAGAAGTGCTACATCACCTGTCTTTTGTCTCTGACTCCCCAAATGGACAACAAAAAGACGCACCAAAATGTTGATAATAGCGCTTGCTGGGACAATCACTGCATCTACAGACTGTCCAGAACTTTAAAAATAGGGCACAAGTATGGTATCTGGAATTCTTGTAAAAGATCACACAAGATTCATGGAACTTAAATGGGTTTTCGGCAAAGTTCTGCTCACGTTACTTTGAATTTATAAAGACAGGTTAGTGAATCCGTTAGCCTGCCATTTTATACACAATTTAGACCCAACTAGAGGCTTTAGCAGCACCCGAAGTAGAGGCCCCCCGCACCCTGTAGCATCCACCGTCCTTTGTATCAAAGGCTTTTTGGTTCCACTCTAAGGGGTTGGCAAATTCACGTAACACCTCACAATCCTAATGCATGTTTCAGGTTGCTTAACCAAACAATATGCTGTCAAAAAACTTATTCCAAGTCAAAGCAAAAGAAAAAAAAGAAAAAAAAAAAAGGCCTTATTTGTAGAACACAGAAAAAGCACTACCCAAATAAAAAAATTACTAAAAGAAATAAGATTATTCCCTCTTCATCCCCTTTCCCACTTGGTGGAATCAAGCTTGGTTTAATTTAATTTGTGGTTACCTCAGAATACAACTTTAAGGTTTAAATTATAAATCACAGCCCTACACAGATTATCTGAACACATCAGTTCTTTTGCGAGTGGCATGTTCCAGGAAGTCTAATATAGCCACAGCCTACTATAGAAAGTATTCCTTAAGGGTTGGGCACAGGACAGGTTAATTAAGGTCACTTAAATCTTCGTCTTTTACAGCAGATCAGAACCCAGATGGCTGACTTTCGGCAGGATTTCTGATAGGAATCCAGGAGAGCTGGTTTCAAGTTTCACAGACACTTAATAGCTGTAACCTTCTTATCCAGGAGTGGTGATCCACATGAAGTCCACAATGAATGCAGCAAATCTGAGGTAGTCAACCCTTACGAAGGCTCAGTATCTGAACATAAAAAGATTTTGAAATGACCACTGGCTGCAGTTTTTGGTTTTTGTATTTGCAGAGTAATTATGAAATAACACTGCTGAATCTAGTTCACGCATTTATATAACAATGAAAAAATGTCCCCTAAATCCAATACACATAAGAAGCAGTCGTGACACTTTAAACTTCCATAGTGCAACAGGGCTGATCATTTGTATCGAGTGGTCTGCATCAGTTGCTGTAGATCCAGCAGAGATCAGATGATGAATGGCTGTTCATGGTGGTTAGCTGTAGTCTAGTCACCTTAGTAGAGTTAGCAAAGACCATTCCTTAATTGTACTGTGTGTGGTGGCTTTTCTGATTTTCAAGCACAGCATACTGGTTGTCTAGCTGAAGTTTAAGGGCCTGGTTTTTTGAAACCTCATCCCTACCTCTATTTTTGTGTCTTACTACTTCAAAGCTCTTCTCCATTTCTTTATCCCTAAGGGAAAAGAAATGTAATCAGTAAATATTTCTTCTTCACTAGGCTGTTTTGAAAATATTCTTCCTTGAAGGGGGTAAAAAAAAGCCACCTCTTACAGAATCTTGGAGGAGAGTAAGAAGGGGAGAACTGGCATATAAAATCCTTATAAAACCATTTTTTAAGGCTTCAATTGAACATAAAACACAGAATACTGTATGAAGCTTTAAGGTCCGATTTTTTGCAATAGCAAATCTACTGAATAATCTTAACTGCAAACCTACTTCGGGACCAACTTGAAGACAACTGGAAAGTTAAAAAGCTGTCTAATGATATGGTGATTCCTTCTAACACTGACTTTCACTTTCAGTAAACAACTATTTGTCCATCTCTCTTTCTTATGCATAAAGAGTAAAAATTTTCTCTTTCAAGTAAAATTCTACTCATTATCCAATGATTTCTCCTTACTTCTATTTTGTGGGAGTGGATCAGATCAGGTAAAGAAAGATGAATGGTGAGTCAATGCCCTCTCACTGAAGCCCCTTATGCATCTGTAGGATGAAGCAGAGGAGCAAGTCCAAGTGGGGGTTTAAATTCAAGCCAGTTGTGCTCTCAAAGACTGGGATTTACTAAAAACACCCAAATAAACAATATTTCCATCTGATGTCATTTACATTTCTTCCCATTTTATTTATTTTTTAAAATTCATGTCCCTAAGTAAGATGTGGATGTGCCATATGTGGTCATTTAACTCCAGGTAGCTTTCATTTTATGTACCTGCTGAAATAAGATTATTTTAATATTAGATTTATAAATGTCAACATCTTCTTATCTATTCACATTAACTGGGAATACAACAAAATACTGCTCTTAAATTTCCAGAGTTTCCATATTACAAGAAACAGAATCCAGCAATTTAAGACTGTAAACAATCTGAAATGAACTGAGATGTTCATAGCTATAATGCAACATAAACAAGGGATAAGAGAAGCTGTTTTGTAGACAGGGTCTTCCAGGGTGTATCCTAAGTCCCATCCTAGTTCTCAGCTGCCTGTCAGCTGCTCCCTCTGCTTTACCAGTAAGGAATAATTCCCCTCAGGTGGGTTTTCACAGCCCCCACACCTCACTCCCTGGCCAAGGGGAATATAGGGCTCCAAAACAAAATGCAGTAATTATAATACTTACTTCCGGCTTTCTACATGCTTGGCAGTGGACTGCAGGGAAGGGAACTGTGTATCGCTGTATATTTCTGGTGGTCCTTGTGGTGTTTTCCTTGTTGTGGTTAACCTGGCCCCAGGAGGCCTATATACACCGCTTGTCATCGCCAGTTCTGGGGTTTCTGTAACTAAATTTTTAACAGTTTAGAGAAACTATTCAGATGCTTGGCATTTTAATAAGCTATTCCTGCATTCTCAATCATTCAGTAATTACAGAAAAAACAACAAACAAAAAAACCCCCAATACCTGACATAAGAAAGGTCTCCGGGTCAGAAAACAGGGAAAGTTATCCGAGGAAATGCCTCAAAGTAAGAATATCCTCTTTTTCTAAGGTAGTGTTCTAACTCCTCATCCATTTGCAATTTTAATTATATATGTAAGTGAGTTCTATAACCCAAGTTACCGGGCAGTGAATACACAGTGGGAAAGGAATCTGCTGCAGCTGGGAGACAGGTCTCACAGGGGACTTCCTTCAGAACATGACCACTTTCATCCTCAGTTTACACATCATAAACATGAATAACCACTTATTTACCTGGTTGGTGGATTAAGTAAGATGCTATATGTGAAGAATTTCCTGTAGCTCCTATTTAATAAAACACCTGTGTAGTTATTAAAAGTTCTAAAGGTGACTTCTAAGAAAAAAAATGACTAGATATCCTTCATGATTTCACTGTGTTCCACATCATCAATGACTTTTAAGGCTCTCTTTCCATTTTATTGTAAAACAAGAAAAAAAATTAAGCAGCCCAAAGTCTTCTAATGTGGTTAACATTTTGGGGACACAGCCTTTCAGTTTTTTCCTATGTATTTTTTTTATCCTCAAAATGAGCTCAAACTGGGTTTTATATACATTTTCCACTTCATTTATCAAAAACTTCATTTTATTTCAAATAAACATTTACATCAGCATTTATTAGCTAAAATACAATGTAGCTGTTTGAATAACAGTATGTTGTTGCTGTGTGCTGTCCAGTCGATTCTGACTCACAGCGACCCTACACGACAGAGCAGAACTGTCCCATAGGGTTTCCTAGGCTGTAATCGTTATGGGAAGAGACTGCCAGGTCCTTTCTCCCATGGAGCTGCTGGTGGGTTTGAACTGCCAACCTTTTGGTTCACAGCCAAGCACTTAACCACTGCACCACCAGGGGTCCTAATAGCAGTATAAAAGTTTATTATTTTGTATAGTTTTTAATTATATGGTGGAAAGCGTATAACATTTAATCATTTACCAAATAGTTATCAAGTGTCTGCTATGTGTTAGATACTGTTCTCTAGGCTACACGCTGGGGATACAACTGTTACAACACAAAACCCCTGCCGTCGTGATCCTGATATTCTAGAGCTGTACGGCCCAAAGCAGTAGCCACTAGCTACATATGACCATTTAAATTGATTAAAATTTAAAAAATTCAGTTCCTCAGTCACACTAGCCATATTGTAAGTGCTCAACAGCCATGTAGTGGATAGTACTACTCCATCATTGCAGAAACTTCTACTGGACAGCACTGTTCTAGAGAGAGGAAACAAAATAAATAAAAACAGCTAAGTGCTACACCAAATATTAAAGTGAGGAAAAGTGTGTACCGGGAGTGTACGATGGACAGGGTAGTAATATAAAGGGTTATGATTTTAAATAAGGTGGATGGGGAGGGTCTCACTGATGAGGTACAAAAATTGAGCAAAGACCTGGAAGAAGCAATGGGACAAACACATAAAACCAAGAGTTGGCAAACTATGGTGCACAAGCCAAATCTGGCCCACCACTTGTGGGCTGTGCTTTCCTGAAACTCAGCTATGCTCATTTGTGTACATACTGCCTATGGCCGCTTTTGTGCTACAACAGCAGAGCTGAGTAACTGCAAAAGAAACTGCAATGGCCTTTACAGAAAAAGTCTGCAGACCCGATACAGAGGGAAGAGAACTGCAGGCCGAAAGCATAAGCACAACAGTGTGCAGCAGCTAGTTGATCTGGTACAGTCAAGGAACAGTGTTCATCTAGTATATTCAAGGATCAATGAACAACAGGGCATAAAGTCAGAAAGGCGGAAGGATCACAAGGCAGACTGTGTAAGGCCTTGTAAGTCACTGAGAACTTTTAGCTTCTACTCTGAATGAGAAGGGAAGCCACAGAAGTTTCTGAACAGTAAAGTGACACTCTGACTTGTATTTTACAAGGATCACCACTTTGGCTGCTGGGTAGAGAAGAGAGTGCAGGGGAAGGAGGGAGAGAACAAGGGTAGAAGAAGGGAGACCAGGACAGAGGCTACCTCAGTAATCCATATAAAAAACTATGGTACTTCAAACCAGGGTGGTAGCAGTGGAGCTGGTAAGAACTAATAACAGCGTGAATTTATTTTGGAGTAGAGCCAAAAAAATTTTACTGACAGACTATATTTAGGTTTGAAGCAAAAGAAAGAAGTTAAAAGATGACTCCAAAGTCTGTATCCTGGGAGACAGAAAGGATACCACTGAAATGAGAAAGGCTGAGAGGTGGAGCAGGTATGTGAGGGGGTAAAGATGAGTTCAGTTTTGAACATACTGAATTTGAGATACTAGGTAGGCAGTGAACATATACATTTCTGGAGTTCAAGACAGCTGAGCTGAAGATGAAAATCTGAGTCACTGGCATACAGAATGATGTTGTAAAAGGAGAGAGGGTAGGTAGAAAAGAGAAGTAAGGACTGAGCCTTTGCTTCTGGCTTTCTACATGCCTAGCAGTGGACTGCAGACTAGCATTTGAAGGTAAAGAGGAGGAGGTACCAGTGAGAGAAGAGAGAGAGAGACTGAGAAACAAACAATCAATGGTAGCAGCCATGTGGTGTCCTGGAAGCCGAGGGAAGAATGTGTCTCAAAGGCATGATCAGCTGTCAAATGCTGTTTATGGGTCAAGTAAGATGAGAACTGAAAACCTGAACACTGGATTTAACAATGTAGAGATCATTTATGACCACTGACAGAGAATGCAGTAAAAAATTAATAAATAAAACAAGTTAATTGGGAAAAAAATATACGTAACATAAAAAAAGGCTAGAAGGATGCAAAAATGTTAACATATAGATGTTATCGATGATCTCTGCATAGTAAGATTTGGGGTGATTTGTTAATCTTTATACTATTCTACATAAATAAATGAGCATGTATTACTTTAAAGCAATGTTTCTCAAAACGTTTTTTCATCACAGCCCACCTATGGAGCTTTTTTATGCATCATTTTCTTCCTAACCACCACCCTCTCCCCCTGAATTTTGGTACCACAGATACGCTGCATGCACATCTGCTTATATACTTTGGCCCTTTGAAGAGCCAAAAAACACTGTAGTATCTAAGTCTCCCCCACTCTGCTGAAACAATTTTCACTTCCTTTCAGCCCTGGTGAGAATTTAGACTTTAAGATGTGAGAATAAAGTGGGGGAGGGAAAAAAAAAACACAGGGGCAAACACGAGGAGCCCGGTATTCCTCAGCTGGCTGTCAAAAATAGTTTATCATGATAAAAGCGCTAAGAATGTCCTCTCCTATGAAAACTTTTGGAGTTAAACTGGACCTCTGGTAATTTTTACTAAAAATGAAGCTTATCTTGGATTCTAGTAAATGAAAATCTTTTCCTTATCTTTTCCACCATCAGTCAGGAGTTAATATTTAGGAAAGAAATTAGGGGAAAAAAAAAGCTTAAATATTTAAATTTGGCAAGTCAGTTTATCTATGTATAAATTTTAGCCTTAACTTCCAAATTCCTTTTATTTCGGATTTGAAAGTTTTTAAAGAGACACATACAAATCTCTCTCCTCTCAGGAACAGAAAGAAGCCTCATTCCACCCTCACCACAGCAGACATGTAGTTGAAACCTGACGATATACAGAATCACACAAAAATTAGATGTCTTTCTGAAACTGAAATATTAAGATTACCAATTACTGGAGCAGGAGGTGCTTGTATTGGAGCTGTTCTATTCCAGGGACCTGAAGACTTTTCTATGCCGCCACCACCACCTCCTCCACCTTCTTCCCAGTTATCACCTGGCTCTTCTCTCTTTTCATTATCTTCTTCTTCCTTTTCACTATTGGAAAAGCAAACAATTGAATTCAATTAAAGAACTATCAGAAAAATAGTGCAAATTCTAGTTCTGTCATTGCTTATCTGTGTGACCCTGGAAAAGTCACTTCACCTCTTCCAAGTCCAAATGCCTCACTTGTTTTACAGAGAGGGATTTTACCTCTTATACACTGGGACTTTCACTCGACTCCATATGAAAAAAAGTTTCATTGCTTAGAAAAGGTTTAGAAAACCACTCCACCATCTGATAGTCTCCACTTCCCTTTATGCAATCTCCCTCAGTGGTGAACCTCCTCATACACTCAAAAATATTTACAAATAACTAACACACTAGCATGCTTATTTATGACAACCTGCCTGATTATCCATACTAGCCCAAAGTAGAAGGAGGATCCCAGCAACTGGCTCAAGTGACTGAAGGAGAGAAGGTAAATTGATTTAACCTGAAATGCACAGAAGAGGGCAATGTGAAGGCTTAAAAGCAAAATTACTAGATTTTTCTAGGACCAAAAAGTACAAATAGGCATTTATGGTAAGTATATTTTAGTGATCAGATGAAGGTACTGAAACCTGTATAATTTTATTTGCTAATCCTTTAGTACATGCTACATTAGAATCTAAGAAAATGCCCTCAAAATTATACTTTTCTTACCATGCTTTAAGTGAAAGTTTACAATTCAAGTTAGTCTCTCATACAAAAATTTATACATACATTGTTATGTGACCGTAGCTGCTCTCCCTATACTGTGACAACACACTCCTCCTTTCCACCCTGGATTTCCCGAGTCCATTCAACCAGCTCCTGACCCTCTCTGCCTTCTCATCTCGCCTCTGGACAGGAGCTGCCCACTTAGTCTCATGTATCTACTTGAGCTAAGAATAAGAAGCACACTCTTCACGAGTATCATTTTATGTCCCATAGTCCAGTCTAATCTTTGTCTGAAGAGCTGACCATGCGAATGGTTTTAGTTTTGGCCTAACAGAGAGTCCGGGGGCCATGTCTTCCAGGGTCCCTCCAGTCTCAGTCAGACCATTAAGTCTGGTCTTTTTACTAGAATCAAAATTATCATTAATTCACATTCTAACAGAGGAAAACAAGTCAGTGCTCAGTGACTGCCATAGGTGCTGCAGATTTTATTACCGCCAGTCCTCCCATCTGACAAAGGGAATGTATGGAACTAGCCCCCCATGACAAGACATGAATTTTTCACCCATTAAAAAAAGAAGAGAATGAAAAAATTATCTTTGGCTTAACAAAGATATCTGCACTGCTGACACACCCTCCTAAGACTACCTGCAGTGTTTTTTTTTTAAATGCCAGTTTTTATGTATTTACTCTTCAATTGACTTGAATCAGAGTATAAAATTTCTCCAAGACTTCTTTATTTTTCCTTTTGCTGGATTATTTATTACTATTTTATGTAAACTTGAATGTTCTAAATTATCAAGTACGTATATCTTGTATCTCCACCACTGACTTGACAGCAGGGATATTCAGTACGGTAACTGTCATATCAAACTTCCTTTCTGCAGCTCTTTGACCATGCCAGTGCACCTGGCATACACTGCCAACCTTTCCACTGAATTATTTTCCATGACAATGGTGGGTTTTCCTAGGTCTTCAGCTATGTCTTCTCAATCTCCTTCACCATGCTGGCCCTCCTCCCCCAAATAAAAGAACCAGGACTGCTCCTCAAAACCAGAAAGCTCTGTCCCTGGTCTTCCAACAGTATCTCCTTTTGCTATCTGGTTCACAATCATGTCACTAACCATACACAGATGGACGGAAACGTCTACAGCCTCGCTTGGCTTCTGAAAAAGGATTAACTGGGTGACATCTAAGGGTGCTTTCCTTCCATTTCTATAATACATGCCCTGAGTATAAAGGACAAATTTCTTGAATAGCTAATGGTGTCCTTTAAAGACACTTAGAAAAAACTTTCAAAGATAATGGCAGCATCATATATATGAATTGCCCACCAATCAGAGGTGATTCCAGAATTTAGAGATCTAGGGGTAGCACTCTGAAAGGGGAGGGGGAACAAACTTATCTTCAATCTGTATTTTGTATCAAGCTTTTACTTAAGACTATCGTTTGTCTAAAGATAGAAATGGATAAAGAATATGGCCACACTAACCCCTCAGTTTTCCTTTTCATTAATGCATAACAGAATTCTATGCAGCCACTTAAAATGTGCTAAGACCTATACTGACATGGAATATTTATGTCATATAAACCAATAAAAATTACTAAAACATCATCTATATACTTACTATAAATACTGAAACATCTAGAATGATTTTTAAAAACATTAACAGAAGTAGCTCTGGGTGTCAGAATACCTGATTTTTATTTTTTTTATACAGCCAACACTAAAGACCGTATTCTAAAGCCAGACTGCCTGGTTCAAATCCAGGCTCTGCCATTTACTAGCCAGAATACTTTGAGTATGGCACTTAACTTCTCAATGCCTCAGTTTCCTCACATGTAAAATAGGGACAGTGGCCCCACTATGAAGATTAAATAAGGTAACAGACACGAAACACCTGTAACAGTGCCTGGCACCTAGTAAGCACTTTAATCGTTCACTATTACATGCTTTTTAATATTTGTTGACTTTTCTCACAAGGAGCACACATACTATCTTCATAATTGGAAAAAAAAATGCAGTTTCCTTTTGAAAATATGTTCTTTTTAAATGAGTGTTTAAAATGGATACCAAACAGTCTGACCCTCTTTTCTGAAGGTAGCTTATGAGTGGGATAAACGACTAGTAAGAACACAGAGATCCTTATTTATCCAGGAGTCTAACAGCAGCATTCAAGCATCGGAATTGTCCCAAATGATCTCTTAAAAAAAGAAAAAGAAGTTACCCATCTTTGAAGCTATGCCAATGCAATTATACTGTAATGTAATTGCTAAGTTCATGGTGCTTGGTAAAGGCATGGTGTTATCCACCTAGCTACAACCTGAACTGACTAGTTAGTAATGTCCCAGCAATCCAATCCATGCCAGCTGGGGAGGTGAAGATACACCAAAAGTGCCTTCATGGTACACCTCTTATAAGCTGTGATAGATATCAGCTGGTCATTTACATTCTGAAAGTTGTTAATTCCCTAATGTGCTGAATCACAATTGCTCAAATATATTTATTAGGTTCTAAAATATCTTTTCCCCCAAATCACCTTAATATTTGGTGGTTACCATATTTAAACTCTGGAATTATTAGTTTGCAATAAACAATCTTCAACTGAAAACAAAAAAAACTTAAACACTGATTATTCCCAAACAGAAGGGATTATGGATACTTTTTGAACTTATTTATGCTTTTATGTATTTTTTCAAATGTTCTAAAAATATGCATATTATTCTTCTAATTCACTAAAAATTTTAAGAAAAGCACCAGTCTGGTCTGATAGAATACTGAGAGTGAGTCTCAAGTAAAAGAGGTCTTCTTTATTGCCTAGTGTCTTTCTACCACTTCCTCACCCTCAGAGACAAATGAAAAAATGAATAAAATAACCACAAATCTAAAAATACCTCTAGATTAATTAAAGGAACAAGCAGACAACTTAGAATTTTGGCTTAAGATTCAGAAATATTAGCTAAACACTAGAAATTGTCTAGTCAAGACCCTTCATGCAGCAGATGAGGGAGCTAAGGCCCAGAGATGTTAAGAGTCTTGCCTAAATGCCTCAATACTAATGGCAGATGGCAGAAAAATGAAAATACGTTCTTTTTAAATGGGTTTTTAAAATGGATACCAAACAGTCTGACCCTCTTTTCTGGAGTGGGATAAATGACTAGTAAGAACACAGAGATCCTTATTTATCCAGGAGTCAGGAGCCCTGGTGGCATAGTGGTTATAGCACTTGCTTGCTAACTGAAAGGTCAGTGGTTCGAACTCACCAGCTGCCCCATGAAAGAAAGATGTGGCAGTCTGTTTCCGTAAAAATTTACAGCCTTGGAAACCGTATGGGGTTGCTGAGTTGGAAATGACTTGGCAGCAGCGGGTTTGGTTTTGGTTTTATTACCTGTTTATCTTTACACATTCAAGAAAATGTCAACTCTCCAAATGCCAAAGCCAGGATAAGAAAAACACTGCAAACACTTATTTCCACAAAAGACAGAATAAAATTCAGTATCTGACCCAAATATAATGTGTATCTTCTTACCAACTAAATTTCAGATTTTTAAACATGGCAATGCTACTGTAAATTCATCATCACAATTCTAAGTATATTATCTTGAATAGGTATAGGTATGTATGGCACTACTGGAGAGATGGGGGGAGTGGTGATGGTAGAAAAGGAACATTTACTATCTACTATGCCAGGCAGCCTTCTACCCACTTCATTCAGTTAAATCAAGGCAGGGAGGAGACAGGAGGAAACTGATTCTCAGACAAGTACCTTCCCCAAAGTTACAAAGTAGCAGAGCCAAGTCAGTGGAACTCCAAAGCCCTTATTTTCACTTTGCCTATTTCATTTTATCTTCTTTACAGCTCTAGGAGATACATCTATCTACACACACACACAGAGGACAGAAATTTTCTCTATTTTGAGGTTCGAGGAATTCACTTTCTTTAGTAAGGTTGCTCAGGATTACACAACCCACAGCAGCAGTACATTTATAGGACCATCTCTCTCCTCACCTCAAGAGACATCATAGGTGAATTTATGCACCCTAGCCTCCCCTCCCCAACACTAGGGGGAAACAGCTAAACCCAAAACCAGACTTGACCAAGCTTCTGCTGGAATGCCAGGCATCTCCATTGGTTTGACCCTATTATACCAACCACTGTGACAATAGTAAAATGGGGAGATAAAAATGGCCTGATGAGCTATGCCTGGCCTGGAGGCTTAAAATGTCATTGTACCTCATCCAAGAAATCCTTCCTGACCCCTTCAAGCTAGCCTAAGTATCTCTCTTCTATGCCCCACAGCACCTTGAATGTCCCTTTGAAATTATCTACTGGTGTCCATTAGAGCATGAATCACAATCCCACCATCTAGCACAATGTCTGCCACACAATACTCACACAAATATTTTGCTACAAGGAATCCAGTTTGGTCTCAGGGGTAATTTCTTCAAAGTGCAATTTAACCAGCTCTACGTAAATGGTTTAAAGGTCTAGATTTCTGAAGAAGGCTCCTAGAAAACCACTGGGCTCCAATAACTCAATTCTTCGTTGAAACATCATAAATACTCAACATTCTGTAACCTCAAGAATTAAATGAAATCTCTCTAACCTTCTCCCAAAAACCCATTTTAAAGATGTGAGAGGCCTACAGGTCCCACAACCAACCAGTAATCTAAACTCAAACGTCAGGCCCCTTTATCACCATCTCCAAGGCTTCCTTCTCAAAGATTTGTCTACACTAGTGATTTAAATACCCTACTACCTGTTTACCCTTATATATTCAAGAAAATGTCAACTCTCCAAATGCCAATGCCAAGACAAGAAACACACTGCAAATAGTTATTTCCACAGAAGACAGGCTAAAATTCAGTATCTGACCCAAATATAATATGTGGGTCAAATATAACAACATGACTTTGAGTAAGATCTATTAATTTAGACACAAAACATGTCCTTATAATACTCTTGGTACTTAAATCTTGAGCTGGTGGATTAAGATACTAAAAAAAAAAAAAAAAAAAACCAAACCCACTGCTGTCAAGTTGATTCCAACTCACAGTGACCCTATAGGACAGAGAAGAACTGCCCCACAGGGTTTCCAAGGAGTGCCTGGTGGATTCGAACTGCTGACCTTTTGGTTAGCGGCCCTAGCTCTTAACCACTACGCCACCAGGGTTTCCAAATGTGAGACAGGACGTTAAAACTGTATGTTTGCTGCTACTGAAAAAAATATATTTCCCCACTCAAATGTATACTTATCTCTGATGAGGGCTCAGCACGCCAACATACTATAAAATTAGTGTCAAGAATTTTAAGACTATATATGCCTTACGCGCAAGCTAACTCTCAGAGAGTATATGGAGAAAGAGAAAAAGATAAAGCAAATACGGCAAAAACAATTGGTGGCTCTGGGTAAAGAGTGTATCAGTATTTACTGTACTGTTCTTACGACCTTTCTGATGTTTATAATTTTTCAAAACAAAAAGCTGGGAGAAAAAAATCTAAGGCTATAGGCTGAGATCTTCAAGATATCTTTGGCCAACTTTCAAAGTTTCCTTTCCCCTTGTCCTATAGTGAGATAACAAGCTTGGGTCTGTCATGGATAGAATAAAAAACAAACTGAAAGCATAAAGAACCCCCCCTCCATTTCTCTTACGTTCTAAGGGCTCTTGCCCAAAACGTAAAACCAAGCTATAGATGACAATCATTCAAGACCTCTAGCAATGTTTAACAGAGAGGAACTTGGGTATATTGTATCTGTGCTAAGCTGCACATGTGATTCTCTTGTAGTATATGCCCATGGTGAATTGACTCAGCCCAGTCTGACTTCAGTCATAATCTTAAATGCCTCCACTACCCTTTCCCTTTAAATTCTGGACTTATAAATCAGCAGCCTCATGGTTAAATAACAGAGAAATTCCCAAGAATAAGTCATTCTGGTTTATCCACTGAAAAAGACAATTAATACTTACCAAGTACCTACTATATGCTAAGCATTTTACAAACACTCTAGTCAAAGAAATCCTCACAATACTGTGGAATAGTCTCAATTTTGCAGCTAAAAACCAAAGTTCAAAAGTAAAGTGACTTTCCCAAGGTCACACAAACAGTAAACAGAGCTAAATGTAAATCCAGGTTTGCCTCTCCCTAAGCCCATGTTTTTGCAACATTATCAACTCCACCCCATTTATATGAGCAATCTACTCTCCTACTCTCCACTCCTATGAACCAAAGTGTCTTTCCGTGAGGATCCCCCAACTAGTACATTTAGTTTTAATATTTAATATAAAATTTACAGGAATATTCAGTGTATGTTAGTTGCTGTCACATCAGCCTCGACTCAGGGCAACCCTGCGGACAATGGGATCTGACTGCTGTGATCCATAAGGTTTTCACCGGCTGATTTTCTGTAGTAGATCACCAGGCCTTTCTTCCTAGGCTCAGTCTGGAAGTGCCATTGAAACCTGTTCAGCGTCATGGAAATATGCAAACCTCCACTGACAGACAAGTGGTGGGTGCATTTTAGCTGTACTGGCCAGAAATCAAATCCAGGTCTCCCACATAGAAGGCAAAAATTCTACCACTGAACTATCAGTACCATTTTTTTATCACATAAGGTGAAAAATTCAGTCATTATTAAACCTCAGTTGGCTTTTTAACCCTGAGCTTTTCCTGGAAATTGTCAGATTGCCCTTTATTAAATGATTTATGAAAGCAAAGGAAATACAGATCCCAAACAGATACCATAGTGACTGAGGACCCACAAAAGCAGCTTCCTGAGGAGCAGATGTCAAGGACATTTTTCAGTGTTAGCAGGTTAGAGGAAGACCTCTAGGACGGCCACTTAAGGACAAGGACTAGATGCTACAGACATGGAAAAGGATGCAATATAAAAGCTGGTCTTCTCCAGGTCAAGAAGAACTTAAACGCTCATACTATCTAAGACTTACTTATGCCCTTGGTAAAGCTGAAGAATATAAGTTATTTAAAAAATGTTTCACCGTGTCAGGAATTGCCAATAGTTATAGTAGAGACTAAAATAACCCTGAATATGGATATGGAATTTATATTCAATGATAGAAAAACATAAGTTCAGTTTAAACATTCTCCACAGTTTAACAATATCAACTGCTAACATTCAGATCAAGCCTCGAGAGAAAGAAACAGATTTTTTCTAAACTACACCTCTCCAAAAATACCTAAAAAAGTAAGGGAGTCCACAAGTGGTTGAAATAAAAACTCCAGTACAGTCAATTATACTTCTTAAGAGTGGACAAGGCACATCTCCTAAAAAGTTTCCCAGCATCAGTCAATCAGGAGGCTTCGCTTTGGTTAGGCTCCTTAAATGATGTATGTGAAAGCACCCAGGACATAATGCTTAGCCGGAAGTAAATATTCAACAAATGTCAAAAATAGCAGTCCTTGTTGTTAAGTTATCTAAGGACATAAACATTGTCAACTAGGTAGGTCAAAAGACAGTTCCTGGTTAAGGAAATTACTTCCACCACTGTACAACATGCTCTTTGGCACTGAACATAAATTACAAACTTCAAACTGGAGGCAGTTTATCAAGACAATTTCTTTAAAATGAGAGTAAACAATTTTTCCTCTTAAACATCTGGAATCATATATTCAACTGTTTTTTCTACATTACTAAACCCTAAAATATATTTATTTACAAATCAACCTAAAATTGACTGCCATAAATTGGACTTGATAAAAATATGCTGAATTTCAAATCCTCTAAACCAACCAATCCAATTTTCAAAAATTACTGTTTTCTTGAACTTCAAAGGTAACATGCTTAAGATTATATGATTCTGTTCCTATACATTTCAAAAATGTATAGGACAGTGGTTAACTATGGTGTTAGAATAGCGGTTATCCTTGGGGGTGAAGGCAGTAAGTGATTGGAAGGTGGTAGGAGAGGGACTTCCTCTGTACCAGTTCAATTTCTTGACCTGGGTGCTGAATGTGTAAATTCATTCGCTGTGGGAACTTGTAAAATCGGTACTTTTCTAGTAAGTATGCTATACTTCAATTACAAAAATACATACTAACTTGCTTTTTGGAAAAGATATGAAAAATGTCCACATTATTTTTGAGAGGAAAACAAAAACTAAGTTCATACCACCAATATTAAAAGTGAAAAAATTTAAGTGACAAAATCAATTTTAGCTGTCTCAAATAAAAAGGCCTAACCTGGGCTAGAAGTAGGCAAGCTCTCACAGGATTTTGGAACTGGCAGTAATTTGATGAGCATATAGAGGGATGTGGAATGACTCCTCTGCTGTCGCAGAGATGAGGAACAGACACAATCCATTAATGCCCTAATAAGCATATCTAAAGCATAAGATGGCTGTAATGCTGCTTTGGGGCTAAAGAATAACGAAACACAGGCTTTAACCACTGAACCACGGGGTTTCCTAAACATATACTACCTACCCTAAAGATAATCTAAACACATTTGTAACCAGACCATACCTTATTTGCATTGCCTGAACTCGGAGGCCGCTGTAATCCACCTCTTTTTGCTCAAATTCTTTCCACTCATCTTCGTCCTGTAAAACACATACCATTTAATGAATTCAAGGTACTTACAAACATACAACTATGGCAATATCAGACTATGAAAAGGGGATCAAGTGGCTGGAACCTAAACGAAGTGGAGGCTCGTTTTTCTGGCTTGAGTCCTTGCTTGTTCCGGAGACCGATTAGACTAGAGGACAAACGTGCCCAGCAGCCAAACATTGTTACTTCCACGTGGGTCCTTCATGAGAGCTGCTACTTTAAGCGACCAAGAAAAGCCAAAGGAAGTCACTAGCAATACCACAACTCAATTTCTACTAAGTGTGGCCATGACACTTTTTAAAGTCTTTCTTTGAGGAGCTCAGAGACCAAGTTATGTCAACAGAGACGCCCTAAATGCGATTGTTAAAACAGAAAACTGCAGCTCAAACTAGCCAGCTGCAGTCAGAACACCCAACTACTCGGAAGAGACGTCACTCGCTGCGTGCTGCTCGGTGCTGAGCACTTCAGACTCAGTTTCCCTGAGAATGCTGAGGCCCGTCTTTGGGATGAGGGCGGTAGGTCCCGGTTCGGACAAACCGGCGGCGCGGGGCAGCCTACGTCACGTGCCCCCCCCCC